TCTCTCTCTCTCTCTCTCTCTCCAGTACTAACCTGTGAAGGTGGTGCCTTGTTGCAGGTACATCGAAGACGAAGCTGGAGCTATAGCGCCACAGATAAGTCTCCCTGGCCTCCGCCAACCATCTTTCTCTCTCCACTACTACTCTAGCTCCTGATAGCGCCCAACACTGAAGACTACTGCTAACGCTATTACTACTACTGCAGCGCTCCTCCAGAGTGTTGTCGAGCGCATCGGTCCGGCACCGCACAAGGCAGCGCGGGACCCTCTCGGCCGCGTCACGCAGGAGTTGGTTTGTTCCTTCGTCGCGAATATACATGGAGCTTTCGCAAGCCGCTCTGGCCGAGTGCGCCAGCCACACCTCTCGCGAGCCCCTACGACAGGGTAAGGCCTACGCGAGGCACGACTTACCTCCACCTTACGGGAGCTGTCACCTCCCTTCGGTGGGCATATCCCCGTGTGCTACCAGTCCAGAATACGAAAGTTTATCAGTTGCAATCGCAAAGGTGGACCAGCCGAGGGCGTTTCTCGTTCGCTGTAGCATAGGGGGTACGCGCGGTATTACTCCTCTATCAGACCCGCACGCGAACCGACATCTTGGGGGGCTGAAGTCCCAAGCGCCACTCGACGTCGGTCAACTAGGACGTATCCCACTCACCATGCATACACCACACTACGAACACAAAAATAAAACACACACACACACACATCAAACAACGCGACGACACTCCTAGTCCCTTAGTAGCCAACCCATAACTCTCTGATGTGGAAATCGGATAGTCGTCGCGCGCGAGACTTAGTATAAAACCGCGCGGATGCAGGGCTAGCTCATATCGACTTGCAATGCAAGCGGTCGCAATGATGGCGTACTATGTAGTACCCATACTCATGCGGTCCTCGTTGATCTCGAGGGTCGCATTCGACACTCAAGTGTCGGCTGACACGCGCCTTGAGGGATAATCTCTCGACGCTGGACAACCGCCAACGACGGTTGAGGACCACACTCTCTTCTGCACCCTGCGGAGATTGGGTGGTACACAGGTTCGTACCTGTGGTGGCAATCGTCTCTTATCGCTCTGGAGACCAGCTCCATCACCTAGGGTCTGGAAAGACGTCAAGGGGTTTGACTTTGACGGTTGCTATGGACTACAACGTCCAACTATAAAAATTATCAAGCAAAATTAATCAAGAAATAAGCATCCCAACCCTCATATATCAAATCAGGACTCAAGATAAACAACAAAAGAAGGGGGAAACATAAAACCCATCAGGTATGCAGATCGTGCGACACATGGTTGTCATTCTCACTGCCTCCAAGGTATGGCCCATATACCAAGCTCCAAAATACTAACCTGCAGAAAACACAGGCACACACAATAGCCACATTGCCATACACCAATGTGGTCAACTTTAGTGTTCCCTGTAACTCACGCCATGCCTCACACACTCAAGCCCCAGTCATAGTTCAACTTTCCATAAATCTCATAAGTTCTTTATAATGGCCATTAAAAGAAGTCTGGTTAAAGCCTTCAAAGAAACATATCAAATCTCAGGGCTAAGGCAATCAAGTTGAGGTACAGGTATAAGCAAAGTTGTGTCGTGAGCCGACGAGTCGGCGATCAACCAACCGACCTGTTATCCGTGATAACAGTATCAGTGATAACAGAAAATGATCCTCGTAGGATCAAGATGAAGCTAGTCTAAATCCTGGATCGAATGTTCCAAAGAAGGCCTGCATCATAAGACAGGTCAATGCCCAAGCTAAATCATCAGTGTATGGAGATCAAATCCCCATGACACGTTCTCACTCAAGACTCCCCTGATCCCGGCCCTCTTCCGCTCGTCTCGCCCATCTTTCCCGACTCCCACCCCGAGCCTCCTTCCCCCCACTCCGCGCCTCCCCTCTCTGAACCTCCTTCCAGACCTCCCCGAACCTCCTCCCAGAACTCCCCGAACCTCCTCCCAGACCTCCCCCCCGAAAGTTCAGAAAGATAGGAGCACGACAACAGTGTACTACAAAAGACCAACAACAACAACAAATCAATCAATCAATCAATCAGTCAATCAATCAATCTCCCGGACCTCCCCGGACCTCGTTCTGAACCTCATACAGACCCTACCCGCCGGTCTCCATCCCTCACTCCCCGAGCCTCCTTCCTCCCACTGCGTACCTCCCCTCTCAGCGCCTCCGCTCTCCCATCTGTCCCTCTTCCACCTATCTCCCCGAACCTCGTATCCCCCCCATCCCTCTCCCTACCCGTCTCCCCGAACCTCGATCCTGACACTGCGTGCCATCCCCCTCCCCCCCGAAAGTTCGAAAGATAGGAGCACGGCAAATCAATCAATCAATCAATCTCCCGGACCTCCCCAAACCTCGTTCTGAACCTCGTACTGACCCTACCCGCCGGTCTCCATTCCTCACTCCCCGAGCCTCCTTCCTCCCACTGCGTACCTCCCCTCTCCCTCCCCGAACCTCCTCCCGAAGCTCCCGGCGTGGAAGAAAGGACAAAGCCGGACA